CAATAGTCAATCACTGTACTGGGTGACCTTGTTACTTGGTTGTATTGTACCAAGAAGGCTACAACCCTGTAACAGTATGATTAAGAATGGTGGTTGTGCTGTGGGTAATGGTGTATTGGTTGGTATTGCAGTGGGGAATGTTTGGTGAATGTTACTGTTTTCTGATATTTGAGAGAGTGCATTCATTTGATTATATTTTCCAAATATTGGATTATTATGTTTTAAACATTTACTTGCAGGTATTAGTGTTTGATGAAACCAATATGGTACTTCTTGTTTCATTATTGCACCAATTAGACCTGAATGAAGCTCAAGGGCATGTATATTTTTCGAAAGTTTGATTAAGCCTTGTAAGTGTCGATAATTTGTATATGAGTTGGATCCTGGAGTACAGCCTAATGTGCAACTCATATGAATTGGTGAGAGATGTTTACAATATACCATAGGTACATCATTAATTTTTTCTGGTATAAGAATCAAAATCGGAGGGTATCGATAGTTTTTGTTGGATTTACATGAAGAACACACGGCAACCTTTTTTTTGCCTCTGTTATTTACATGAGTTATTATTCTGGTATTTGGAAAAGCAATGGGTAATGTATAATTCTCAGAATCATTGTAATCGATCCAGTATGTTGTTTGGTTCATCATTAGGATTGAACAGTAAGCACATGGTATCGGAGGATGATCGTATAGGATTTTTTCTTGAAATTCTTTGATTAATTCTTCTAGTTTATCAGATATTTGCCATGGTTCATGGTCTGTAAAATCTTGAACATTTAAGGGCGTAGTGGATATTTGTTGCATGTTTAGAAATTTTTTGCAATAATTTTTTTTTTTTGATTTTTTTTTGTTCGTATTTATATTTATTATATATGTGTTTGCATTATTTTTTGTTAATATTTTTTTTTTTAGATCACATGATTTATCATTTGATAATTTGAGGTTTGATTTTAATCAGAAGTTGTTTTGATTCATTTTTTTAAGCATTAAGTAATGTGCAAGTTTATAAAATTATAGGTAAAATCAGACAATCTATCATCTGATGGTTTAATTTTTACTTAGTTATTTTTATTTGTTTTTTTGTAGGATTAAGTAATAAGAAATTCGTAAGTTTATAGGTAAAATAAGAAGTCAGGTAAGTTATCTTTTTTTTAATTATTTTATTTGGAAATTTTATTAAGTTAGGAAACAATACATATTTAGTTTTTTTTTTCGAGTTAAAGTTAAATGATCATTTTATTTGTTTTATTTTTAATTTGTTATTTTATTTTAATTTTAAAAATATATTTAATAAGTAATAAAGTATTTACATAATATATTAAATAAGTATTTACAAAATATATTAAATAAGTATTTACAAATATATATTAAATAAGTATTTACAAATTTGAGTTTTCTTTAAATTTATTTTTTCATCATTTTTTTCATAACTGATTTTAGTATGTTAGATTTTGAATTAGTATTATCCTTGATTTCATTTTGGTTTTTATTTTCGTCTACATTAGTAGGATTTTTTTCTTCGAAATGATTATTATTTTCATTAACTATTACTTTGGTTTGCTGCATTTTAGGTTTTTTGTTCTGATACCTATCTTCGTAGCTCATTAGAAGTTGATTTCGCTTTTTACTGTTATTACTTGCATTTTCCAAGGACAAATCATTTTTATTTATCGAGTAAGTATGGTTCCATTCAATTTCTGAAGTCAAAATTTGAACCATGTTATTTCCTTTGTATAATTCTCCACATATAAACAGGATTGCTTTTGATTCTATTGCTTTTTGGACACCAATGTGTCTTGAATTTCCCACATTATATGAACATACTACTTCCAAAATTACATAGTGTGTAGTTAAGGGATTGTAAGCCCTGCGTTCTAATGTAAAGTAAAAAATTGTATTTTTATTAAATTCCCAAGATTTACATGGAGCAGTACAAGCTCCAAATGGCAGGCACTGTGGAAGATCGTACATCGTTGGTTGGCCTTCAATGGTTTTCAAATCTAATGAGATTGCTTGGGTAACAGTAATCTTTTCTTTTTTTTTAGTTATTCTCCTTTTTTCGATTAATATTTAAAAGTTATTTTTTAATTAGTATACTAAATACTTACATTTAATTAAGAGTCTTCTAGAACAAATCTACCAATAATCAACATAATTGTATTTTGTTGGATTCTGTTAATCATGTGTTCATTGTCATTAGAGGAGAACGCTTTGAAATTATAATGTACGAATTCATCATAATCAATTTTATATGTGGTAATTCTAGTTAGAATCGAAGCACCAGATACAGTTTCGATAAAAGAAATTGCCAAAAAGATGGATGTCATTGTTAACTGGTTTGGTAATAATAAAAAAAAATAATTGATCGATTTATTATTTTAGTACATATTTATATATTTTTTTATTCAAAAATAAATTTAATAAATTATTTTATTTTATGAATGATGTATAATATTGAAATTTAAAATCACACGAATAATCTGATTATGATATCACATTTGATTGGAATTATTTGTTAAAGGTTATTATTTAGAGGCCATTAGTTATTATTTATTTTTATTTTAATTAAAAGTAAAATTTAAAATTAATAAATTGTCTATGAATGATGTATTGAGATTTAAAATCTCAAGAGTAATTTAATCATGATACAGCTCGTAACATTTAATTAATTAAAAAGAAAAAAATCACAGAACAACTGATAAATACTTTTAAAAAATCACGTCACATCGATATATTAAAAAAATTAAAATTAAATAATAATTAAAAAAGGTAGTTAATTTTAATTTCCTAACTAAAAATATGTATATTATATATAAATATAAAAAAAATAATAACAATTACGGTTATTATGGTTATGGTCTTGTGATACATTTTTTATTGTATTGAGATTCGTAATTATATTCACTTGAAATGCAAGATGTTAATCATTTTATGTGAAAAATAAAAAAAAGAAACTTCATATGAACCGTTTATTTTTTCCATTTTTATTCTTTCCATGTGATAAAATTTGTATAAGAAGGCTCTCTCTGCTCGCTCTGCTCTTCCTGCTCCTGAGCTCTTTACACTCTTGAGTGAGATACCTATTACAAAACATTTTATTTCTCGTGTAACAGAGCCATAAAGAGCCATAACAAATCAGGAAAGAGCAAGTTCCAAAAAAATCACCAAACATACCTATAAAAATCAAAGATCTTCATACTAAACCATATTGAGAATATTGACAGTAATATGATATTAGAACCACCCTGTGAAAGGGTTAATAAATTAAAAATTTTTATGAAACATAAAATTGAATAAATATGTTCAAAAAAATTTTTTTATAATGCAATTTATATCTAATAATGTATCTGAATATATCTGATTTTTTGGTAAAAGATCCTAACAATCAGATCTGATTATTTATGTTGCATTATGATAGTAGATCTAACATAGGAAACTTGACATAACACTCATTAGCATGCCACTAATGGTATGTCATGGTGGCATGCTACTGGCATGTCAGAAAGTCAAAATAGTTAATAAAGAAAAAACTTAGTACAAATTGGCACAGGCATGCCATTTGGCATGCCAGATAATGACATGCCATAGGCATGCCAAATAAATTCATACGTGCCAGGTTCCCTAATTTAACACCCATACATGTAGGAATGTTAAATTACGAATCTAGTCCGGTCCGGTCCGATCCTAGGAACTAAGAAGACAGTCCTAGACTCAATCCTTTAAATCACATGAAAATACAATACATTTTATAAGACTTAGATCCTGTTACAGGAATCTATCGGATAAGTTCATCAAATCCAATTAATTTTGTATTGTTAATAATAATTCAATTCAGGATCCAAGTTCTATAAAATGTATTGTGTTTTCATGTGATTTAAGGACTGGGTCCTTACCAATCCTGCAGGTCCTTGTAAGACCGGTTAGGATTCGGTCGATTAACATCCCTACATACATGAGTGGTATGAATAATAAAAATTGAGGTACGAATAATAATTTCGTATCTGAATTTGATACGTAAATCTTAATGTATATGTCGCATCTGAAGTAGCGACTTATTTGAAGTAGCGCCTGGCTAAAATTAAGCCCCTGAAATTAGATCTTCATGCATGCATTAGATTTTAATTTTAGCCAAGGTGCTACTTTAGATATATAAAGTGGCTACTTTAGATAAATCGCTACTTCAGATGCGACATATATACGAATTTTAGAACTTCAAATTTTGATTGGTTAATGCTGTAATAAATATCAAGTCACTTCATTATATATATTTAACGTCATCTTACCGTTACTTTTAACGTCGATATCGATATCAAATTTTATCCAATTTTTTTAGGATATTAATTTTGTTTATTTTAATTCTGTAATTCTGTCATTATAATTAATAAAAATACAAGCCGATAACATCAGGTAAATTTTTTTTATCATACGTATGTCATATCGATATTATATCACTATTCTTCTCTTATTACAGTTTTTAAATTCTAAATTGCAAGTATATTCATAGTGTTATTTTCTAGATCAACTATTGATTCTAATAATTTTTTAAAAGCAATATTACGTTAATGGTAATTAAAAAAAAAAAGTGATGAAACTTCAAATAAGAAAACGAATAGAGAATAATAACCATAATTAAGTGATAAAATGTTAAATTCTATGTGAATGACGCAGTAGTGAGAATTTTATTTCCATCAGATATAAAAAGGATAATCGTAATTTTTTTCTCGATTTTACCAAGAAGAGATGAAATATTTTATTCAATTTGCTCAATGTTCGTACTAAAATAATTTAATTAAGATAGATTCTGTTGTAAGGGGCATAATACTAATAATTTATAATCGTTCGATCAAATATTGGATTACTGTGTCAGTTCATGAAGAATTTAGACTACCAGAACTTGAATCTTTAGCAAAAATTGAAGATGTAAAGTTGATATATAATAAAAAAGAATATAAAGAAAATGTAGGTTTTCCAATTATTGAAAGCCGTCACCTATTTTTATTTATTTATTTTTACGCATACATTTCCCTTTTCTCAATAATACGGCTAAATAGTGTCCATTTTTGGTTGTTAATATTGAAACCGAGGAAGAAGCGGAAAGACTTGTTAAACGAGCCATTTTGATAAAGTAAGTAATGAGAACATAACTTGAAATTTGTGTTGATTATTAATATAAATTTTGATATAGAAATATTTATGAATTATGGGGGATGGGGGAAACTTATGATGAAGTGCATGCACAAGTAAAAGCTAGTCCTGAACGATGGGTATGGAATTAATACTTATTTATCCTATGATCTTGATACTATGGACTTTGTACTTATTTATTCTATGAACTTTATATTATGACCTGATTGTTACGTTACCATTCTCTCAATAATAATTTTTATTCATATTAGTATCTGTATATCCACAAATCATTCAAATTTACGGTATCAGGCTTCGGATCCACATGTTCATCAGATTATCAAGTTCGTATAATCAATTCTTTTTCTTATCTCGGATTTAAAGGAGATATCAACTTAAAAAATCCACAAGTACAATTTGGTGTATTGGAAGATTATGGACTAGATTCTCATGCACCAATTCCACCGCAAATTCCTTATACTATATATTTTGGGCGATTAGTAAGTAGTATCCGAATATTTTGTTCATATTAAAAATGTCTATTTTTACATATTATAAGTAGTCAAGGTTGAGACAAAAAATAAAGAAAATTTCCGATAATTTCCTAATTCCCGAAGGTTGACCAAAGAATGATCGCCTTTGATTTACCCGGCTAAGCCGATTTTTTAATATTGACTTAGTCAAGTCGATAAATAATGGTCGACTACAAACACTAATTATAAGATATTTATTATTATCGCAAAATAGATCGCTTCTGGGAATAGGGATCTGGTTCAGAAATACAATTTAAAGAAGAGAAAATATATTGGAAATACATCAATGGATGCTGAATTATCATTGATAATGGCTAATCAAGCATTGGTTTGTTTCTTTTTTTGTTTATTAAATTTTATTTTATTCTTCAAAAATAAATAACACCTTTTTTTTGCGCTGCATAGGCTTCTCCGGGAAAATTGATATATGATCCGTTCGTAGGTACAGGTAGCTTTCTTTTGACATGTGCTCATTTTGGCGCGTTTACCTTGGGGTCAGACATTGACGGGCGACAAATTCGTGGACAAGGTTTTATAAAATCTTATATTAATTTTAAGTGAATTCGATTAATATTTTTTTATCTTTTCTTATTAACGGTCCATCATTGTCGATTACGTATAAATTTTGTAGCGAATAAATCTATAAAATCTAACGTAGACCAATATAATCTAAGTGACAAAGTCTTGGATACCTTAGTCTCTGATATACGTCATCATCCGTGGCGAGAAAATCTCTGGTTTGATGCAATTGTAACTGATCGTGAGTGATGATTTAATTATAATTTATTATCATTATCTATGTTGTTTAGATATCCAATTTAAAACTTTTTATTGGAAATAGCACCATATGGTGTTAGAGCGGGTGCAAAAACACTTGGTAGAAAAGATCCAACAAAACGGTCGCGAATAATAAATGGTGTACCAGCTCACAAGTACGTTATTAATGTTAGTTTTCACTTTTTTCACTTGTAACTTTAATCAAATCATTATATATATATGTATATTTTTTTTTTAAAAAAAAGACGCGAAAATTATTATCCTCCAACCAAGCCATACGAAATGTCCGAAGTGCTTATCGACCTCTTGGAATTCGCCGCGCGATATTTAGTAGTTGGTGGTCGTTTAGTGTATTGGTTACCAACTATTGTTGATGAGTGTGTTATTTTTCTAATTATATTTATTGTCAAATTTAATATTTCAACTTATCTAAATATCTTAAAAGCTTTAAAATGTTTTTTTGCTAAAAATAGGTATTCAAGTACAGATATACCCATTCACCCGTGTATGATTCTAATTTCTAATAGTGAACAAAATTTTGGGCAATGGAGCAGACGATTGATTACAATGGAAAAATTTAAAGAAAATGTTGAGGGTGAACATGCAAATGTAAATAATGCGAAAAGTTTGGATAATATGTCACTATTATTCCAAAAAAAGAAAGAAGGAAAAAGTGATAAAGATGAAAAAGATTTCGGAAAAATGGATGACAATGACACTAATAAAAAACCTGGACACTACTTATTTCGTGAAAAGGTTTGTCTTTTATTTATTTGGTTGTATACTTTTAAAATTATATATTTAATGCCTTCTTTTTTAACGGAATTGAATTTGGGCATAGTATTTTTCTTTCAAATCCGAAGAAAAAACCAAAAGAGAGCAAACATGGATAAGATTTAAAAATAAAGACAATACAAATGACAGTATCGACCACACTCAATCATCTACATCGCCTACAGAAAATTTGCAGTGTGAAACGTCGTCAGATTATAATGCCGAAAAACCAGGACAATAAATTGGTAGTGATAATATTTATGCTGAAGCTAAAACATAGATCTTAATGCATTTCATACTCACTCTACATATATGTATCTTGAATATTGAAAGAATTTGTTATAATTTATCCGATCTTTATAATAAGACCTGATTACAGATTACAGATTCCAAATCGATAATTAAAACGAGCATGATTATTTTTATACTAGACTAAATTTAAATTATAGTCCGATCCCCATATAATTGGTGTTTGATAATGGTGACTTTTAAAGCGTGCTTATAAATGGCTGTATAGGGTTTTGTCTATATGTTTGTAGCAATTGGTTTTAAAACAAGACATGCTTGTAGAAAGATTTGACTATAACTTTACGATATTTGGTGAATGGCTGATAATTTTTTAATATGAAATTAACCAGACAGCGTAAAACCAAAAACCACCCATAAACATAGTTTTATGACATTTAAATAATTATTAATCTTTATAAACTGATATTTTTTATTTATCCAACGAAATCGTTTTTTAACCTTTGCATAATTTAGAATTACATCCTTCTCAAGTAGATGATTGTACAAAATATCTCGGTTAAATAAATATTTGGTTCTCAATGCTATATTATTAAAGGGGATTAAATCTTTAAAATTTAGATGATTGTTCGAGTTTGTGTAACACAGTGGCAATCATAAATAATGCAACAAAAAAATTTTTAGTTAGACCGTATTATCTTTCGCAATTCCGGGCGTATTCGTTTATTTTTTTTATTTTATTCGTAAATAGTAATATTTTATCAATAAAAAATTTTTTAAAAAAATGAACAAAATTTTCGCAGGCACGAGCCTTATTTCAATTCACGCGTTGCATCACTTTTGCTTGTTTTTACAGCAACATGATCATAAAACAAAAAATATTTTTTTACATCAAAAAAACTATTTTTTTTCTATCTAATAATTTTCGGTCTTCACCATCGCCCCGGGCTTAATTACATCATGAATTCGTTCTGGTATTGAACCAATCAGCCTTGTGCAGGTTCAACATCGAATACCTGCCAGATCATCTGGATTTTTTCCAAAGATTTTTTTCACTTGAAATTTGGCTTTAAGATGATCAATTTCACATCACAGTTGTTTGATGGGATTAAGGTCAGGGATTTAGAGATCAATCAAAAAATTTCTTTTAAGTTAATGTTTCATCAGGGTTGTTATATGACAAAATACACCATCTTGTTAGAATATGAAATCCTTAACATCAAAACTATGATTTCTAATAGTTCATATCAAATTTTTATTAAGTATTTGTTAGTATAACTCATTATCCATTGTGTCATCAACTTTGCAATAGCTATTAACATTATAGAAGGAAAAGCAATTCAAAATTATAACTGATCTATTTTTAAATTTTATTATAGGTTTAATATAAAAGTAATCTAAAAAGTTAAAATCATGATTTATTAGACAAATCATTTTAAATTAGTTTTTTTTTTTTTTTTTAGTTAAAGTCCCTATCTTGGGAGTTGTGATGTTTTTATTCAAGTATATTAGGATACAGCATGCCACCAAGGGCTCACCTTACATTGAAGGTTACAACTAGTTACACGTGCACTTTTGGTGCCTAATTTAAGTAGTCTGCTTACACATTACTATATAAGTTCTACACTAGTTGTCATACCTGCAAGCCAACTAGGGGTCTTGCCTATTTAAACCCTCTGCATATGCAGTCCTCCTTGTATCATGGGAACATCTCAAGGTGCCACCCATCCAAGTTCTCAATACTTATCAGTCTCCTTAGGACTACTTTATCCACGATAGGAAACTTATTAGAGCTTTTATGTCCCACACATCTAGATCTAGTTTTATGCAACATGTTATAGTTACCTAATACTTGCAGTCACAGAGGTTATCTGTTTAACTGCTACGTTACACTATTTCTACCTTTGTAAAGTTCACTAGAATCCCAGTATCCATCTTTCTGTTATCTTCTCCATCATCCCCTACTAGTTGCAACTCAGAACTGTTAGTCTCATTTATTCATTAAATTAGTTTTTAATAATTTAATTTTAATATTTTTTTATAAATTTGAGTCATTGTTTTTAATAACTATTATTTAAATAGAGTTTTTTTTCTTAATCCTTAATACTAAACTATAATCATATAGTATATTATAAAATAGTTGTTACTAAAATTTTTATATTTTTATTTATTTTAAGATGTATTCTTATTTTTTTTAATATTAAGATAAGTACTTGTGACTTAGGATTTTTTAATAGTACATTCAGTTAATGATTGCATTACAATTACAGAAGTTAATCATAAAAAGAGTATATAATTAGTTATTTATACAACTTTAATCATTATTAAATTTAAGTAGTTTACCTAAAGATTCTATACTAGCTGTCATATCTGGAATCTGTTTATAAGTTTTCTATTTAAATACTTTAGTTTTTGTATCTACCTATCTATTTATACCTATTAATGATCTTAATCGATACTGATGAAAATATGTTATAGTTACTAAGTCTTTAAAGCAGTTTATTTATATGAAAAATCTTTGACCTTGTACTAAACTTTTTAAAATCTTCTGTATCCTATTTTTATAGCTAACTTGGTTATATTATAGCTAAAATCAATACTTACAGTCAGGATGTATCATTAAACTGTTATGTCTTTGTAGAGTTTATTCCAACTTCAGTACTTAGTTTACAATATATTCTTACTATTTTGGTATTTAATTTAAGTCTCATTAGGCTTTTAGTTCAAATAGTTTAAAAAGATAAATACAACTATACCTTTGGTTTATATGTTTTTCTAGCATATAACTTTTTCTTTCAGAATGGATTCTAATAGTCTAGTTAGTTCAACAGCCTCTTTCTAAAGATTAACTTGTTTTCATTTAGTTTTACAAGTTTTAGCTTTGTTTTATAGATCTAGCCTTTATAGTAACATTATCAAAAGTTCAGACTACCTCTCTAATTAGGTATTTCAAGTAGGCTTTTATCTTCCTGGTTCTTGTAATTTATATAACCACAGGGACTTATTACAGTTTCACATCATTTGGTACCAATTTGTGTTTCTTTGTATAAGATATAACTATTATATAAATGTCATATAATTTTTTAGTTATGCTTAGTGTTGGAAATCTGTTTTGAAATTTATGTTCTCATAAGAACATAATTATTTAATTTAATGTTCTCAAAAATATTTTTATGTTCTCAATAACAAAAATTATTATTACTATTTTTTGGAAATTTTCAGATAATATTGATAATTTATTTAAATTTTTATCTCAAACTTGCTTGTCTTTTATATTTGTTTATTCTTTTTTCAGAATTTTAAAAATTTATTTATTTTCTAATTATCAACTTAATTTGTACTATAGTATATAGAGAACATATTTATCAAGCAATATGTT